TTAAGGAATTAGATCTGATAGACAGATCTAATTCCTTAAATCTATTTGTCACCTCTACTGTATATTCATCAGGGATATGATTTAGGTCATACCTGAGTGGCCTAGTTCTTTTCCCTACTTTCTTCAATTTAAGCCTAAATTTTGCAACAAGAAGCTCAAGATCTGAGCCACAGTCAGCTCCTGGTCTAGTTTTTACTGACTGTATAGAGCTTCTCCATCTTTGGCTGCAGAGCACATGGTCAATCTAATTTGACAAGGCAGTGATCCATGAAGGGGGCAACGGACCAGTTCATTGTTTAATAACTGTCATTAAAAATCTTTCAGGCACATCACTTATATTCCTTTATTGCAGGTGCAGTTGTGCTTGAGATAAAGGGCCTTGCCTCCAAGGGAATTTGGTTAAATTTGCAGCTGTGCAGATATTTAAACTCAGATCTAAATCCCTGTCTAATGGATGTGTTTCTGTAGAAGTTAGTGTATGTGCCGTATCACACTATTTGTCATTTCTGAGCCTGGATATTATTCTCTAGATCTACTCATATCCTTTGTGCAAAATGTTTGTAAAGAACAAGATGTTCTATCTTGGAATTTTCGGTGGCAATATCTCAGTGCTTCAAACTAGCTAGCTTTGCCTTATGGACATAATTGGTCTGTATTTAGTTTAATCTTCATCATTCTGCCTGCTGGGTGGATGAACTAATTCTTCAAAGATGCAGGCATAAGTTTCATTTTGCTTTGTCTCTTATAGGCCCTGTCTTTGGCAGCAAAGACAATTTCCATGGATTGGCCATTTTCCTGGACACATATCCAAATGATGAAGCTACAGAGGTATGTGGAGACATGGATTTCTTTTGTGGGCTGCTTCTACTTGCAAACTAAGTATGGGTTTAGTATTAACTAGCAGGAATGTTCCTACTCACAGGTGAAGCTTCCTAGTGCAGTTTTCATTTGTAAATATTTCAATGGGAGCTGTGTCCAGCAGAGTGAAACATACCTTTCTTTATTGTGCAGCGTGTATTCCCATACATCTCTGCCATGGTGAACAATGGATCCCTGACCTATGACCATAGTAAGGATGGCCGCTGGACCGAGCTGGCAGGTTGCACAGCTGACATCCGCAATCAGAACCATGACACATTTTTGGCTGTCCGTTACTCTCGGGGACGTCTGACAGTAAGCAAGCTTGCAGTACCATACTGAATAATTTGCATACTTATTGGGGTTCTATGGTTAGCTAGAACAAGAATGGCTTCTATAGCTGGTTTGATTAATGAGAAGCAGAGTGGAATTGATTACCTGGACCAATGTGGTACGGCTTAACCAATTTCTGTGTCTCAGGACTGAAGCTCTAGCATTCTTGTGGGCTTCTTCAGGTGGCTGGGAGGGTGAAGACTGACATGTCTTTAATGTCCAGGTTTACACTTACCTTGCAGGTGATGACTGATGTGGAGGACAAAAATGAATGGAAAAACTGCTTTGATGTTGCAGGAGTCCGACTACCCACTGGTTACTTTTTTGGGGCTTCTGCTGGTACAGGAGATCTATCTGGTGAGAGCTGCTTGTCACGGAGTTAGAATTGGACTTGTTGCTTGCATGTGGCAGTCTAGCTAAAACAGAATCATTGTTAGCTGTAGCAGAACTGTTCCTTTTGCTTTATTGCATTAGACACTGGAGGAATGTGGATAAGCTCCCTAAATTACTGGAACCTTTAAAGGACTCTTTATTAAGAACTAGGTAGTGAGAGCAGAAGTGTACAACTGTTTCAGCCCTGATGGCTGCTTTGGGTTTCTGCTGTAGTGGTGGGTTCACATATGCCCACATACATTTATACTATTTATTTTTTATTCTTCGGCCAGGGCGACTTATTTTATATTGTTAACTTGTTTTATATTTTTATTGTATAATATTTTAATTGATATATTTGTGAGCCACCCCGAGGCTTCGGCGAATGGGGCGGCATAGACATTTTCTAAATAAATAAATACAGACAGACAGACTTGCATACAGCTTTCATACACACCACTAACTCACCACTACGGTTTACTTTATCCATTATAAAAATACCTTCAGTTTTCAGTTGGGTGGACAATTTGAGCTACTTTTGCGTGCTTTGTCAGGGGCTCTATGCATCTTTTCACTAACCTTATTTACATCCATTTCCACTCACTCATACACTGCTCATTTACAGTTTTAACCATACCTTTTCCTCTACTGAAAAAAGAGAAAATTGGGGAAAAAACCCACACTAAGTAAGGATTCTGTTCTTCTGGCTATTGAAGCCTTGTTCTAGTGCATCCTGTGGAGCAGAAGGGAACATTCTACAATAGCTTCCTATGAAGCCCTGGGAATGAGAGAGGTCCCAGATAAAGTGCTTAACATTTCAAGGTAGGGCTGGGAAGGTATCCAACCTGGAGAACTGCTGCCAGTTAGTATTCCTAATGAGGCTTCTTTTGCAAGCCCCATGAAGCATATTCCATGGGGGGAGTTAGGAGGTTCTTTTTTGATGACGACAGTGTCTTGCAAATTGCCAGACAGGGCTTGGATAGTTGCTTGTGAGAAGAAGATCTTCTGCCTCTGTGGAAATGAAATTTAACATGTGATGTGGCTGAACACTCCAACTTGATTTTTCGTTTCCTAGACAATCATGATATCATCTCAATGAAATTGTTCCAACTTATGGTGGATCATCCACCAGAGGAAGAAAACATTGACTGGACAAAGATTGAGCCTAGTGTCAGCCTGCTCAAATCACCCAAAGGTGAGTTGCTGCTGTTTCTGTCTGGAATGTTCTGTGGACCAGATGGGAACTCACCTTCCCACATGGGTAAGCAGCCCTGTATATTTTCAGGGAACACTAAACAGTAAGTATGCATAGTCACAGAATGGCACTTCACCTTTGGCATGGAGCAATAGTTTGAAATGAAAGTATGGGTGTCCTCTTCTACAGGACACTGCCATACCAGATCCAGAGTGCTAGACGGGGGCTGGAATCCTGAGCAGACAGCCCAGTAAATGTGTCCTGCCAAGTTCAGTGACAGTTGAATAAATCTACTTCACAGATGTGTGTGTAAAATCAATACTATCTTATTGTGGATGTAATGTTAGGGTGTTTAACTAAAGCATCTCCAAAATATCTTTTTAATGACTCATAAAGTTGTCAGCCTGTATTTAACCTTGTTTAGTAGAAGAACATGATACATAGGTAAATCTCTACACTTCTTTTCTTTTCTCCTTTAGATAATGTGGATGACCCCACAGGAAATTTCCGTAGTGGGCCGCTTACAGGCTGGAAGGTGTTCTTGTTGCTTCTGTGCTCTCTGCTTGGCATCATTGTGTGTGCCGTGGTGGGGGCTGTGGTCTTTCAGAAACGCCAGGAACGGAACAAACGATTTTACTAGCAGTGGAGTGGGTCCAGATTTTGGGTATTTGGGGAATATTTTTTACAGGGGGAGGGAGAATTGTATAGACTCTGGTTTCTAAGAGGCTCTTTCAGAGAATTATATGGAATATTTTCATATCTTTCATTTCCTGGCCATACTAGCCAGGTAATCTGTGTCAAACAATCAGGAAAGTAGGGTGCAGCCCTATTGAGAGCCTGCTTTTCTCTTTCTGAATGCTATTCAGAGTCAACAGCCCCTCTTTTAAAACCAAGTAAAATAAAGGAAAATGGTACACAAAACTGTGGTTAAAAATGGTAAGTATTCCTCTTCTGTGGGGCATGGTTTTGCATGCCAGTTTTTGCTGGTGTTTTCTTTAACAGAGAGGTGTTTCTAAAGTCCTGCTAACTCTGCTGGAGGCAATTGTCTTGCCTGGCCCATAAATCCACTTCAAGGTGGGTCCTATGAATTGAATGTATTCTGTAGTCTCACTGGTCCTGAAACTTCCTTTTATTGCCAGCTATTTCTGTATTGCTTGGAGTGAGACTAAAGTACACCAAAACAATTGGTGGCTATCAAATGTGATTTTCCTCTATTGTGATGGAAAGTGTGATTGCATTGGTTTGGGAGAGCAGGGCTTGATTTTCCAGTTGCTGTGGAGTTTGTGCCACAGCTTGAATGCAGAAGCTCAAACTTCATATCTTCAAGCATCTAAGATGAGTGATTTGGGTTTCAGTGTTGTTCTTTGTCACAGCACATAGCTGCGTGTGCATTTGAAAGATGATAGATTGAAGGTATGTGAAATAAAATGGAAAACTGATTTTAGCTTGTGGTACTGTCTTAATTTGGTGGAGACTGAAAATGAGTGTGTAGAGGAGTCAATTGCATTTACTGTTAGTGGAGATTATAATGCAAAATCACTCAATGGTTTTGGTTCATGTCCGGCTTTAACAAGCATGCATTGCTTCTTCACATATTGTATAGAAGGTGGCTGCTCTGCATTATTGTTCACAATATAGATCTGTAGGAATAATTAACCCCTCCCCAATTTATTTCTACTGCATTTTAATTTGCAGAATGTTTTGTAGTTTATAAGCTCGCTTAAGTTCATAACAGCTCAAAAAGTAAGTTAATTGTTGTTCATGTTTTACAGCTGGAAAACTGTCAAGGGATTGTAGCTTTAACTAGAGCCATTACCACCCTAAATCTACAGAAGAGTCATTCTCAAAGCACATTTGCATTTCCCTAGTACCAGACAAGGGGAAAGTTTGCATATGATAGCCCATGAGTTTAACCAACCAGCAGCAACTAAGCACAGTGCCTTCTGTGTAGTTTCAGTTAACAATCCAGGTATATTCTCTTCCTGGTTTGTTAGTGTGTTATCTGAGCTTGGAAACTCTGAGTTGTTTAGGAGTTAACTGGGTGTTGTTAATTGGAGGTGGGAGTGATGGACACAGGAAGGAAACGTGCTCATTCCTGGCAGTTCCTGCATTAACCAACACAGGCAGTAGTGTACATATCAATAGGTATGTACTCAGCAGTATCTTTGACATCATAGCAAAAGATGACTGGTAGACCGCTGTTGCTTGTCCTGTTAAGGGAGACTGTATTTCACAGTGGTCTGTAGTTCACTCATATGAGACTTGCACAATGAATCCAGCCATTAATTAGAAAGTGTTCCTGTTTAACACTTAATCTAATCTGCCAACTAAAGTCTTTGAGAACTAAGGTTCATAGTTCAATAGTAGAATGCATATTTTGCATACAAAAAGTCCCAGGTTCAGTCCCTAGCATCTCAAACTAGGACTCTGCTTAAGTCACTGGTAGTCCGTGTAGGTAGATGAGTAGTCTTGAACTGATGCACCAAGGGTTCTGAGGATCTTACTCCACAAAAAGCAGTTTCCTTGGTTCTGCAGTGCAGTGATGGCAGAGGGGCGAGGGATTTCGACGTGCTAAGAAATGACCATATGGGATGGAAAACGAGAAGGGGGGATGCAGCGGTCCTGCCTGGCTCTATCTCCGACTATGAAGTCCATTCTAACCCACTCGAGAGAGTCGTGCGCGCGCGCTTCTGCTTGTCAATCTGTCAGACAAGCGGCGAAACGTGGGATGAAACCGCGCCGCTTGAACCGAGATGCGCTGGCCGCGGGGAAGGGGGCGTGCCGCTGCCCAGTTACCGCCAGTGGAAGCCTTGCAACCTCCCGCCTCCACTCCCGGCGGCCTTTGCTCCAGAGCGCAGCCAATGACCTAAGGACGCCTCCGTTAGTCAGGAACAGCAGGCTCCCCATACACTTCCTTTCAGAGGGTCGCTGGGAGTTGTAGTCCCGCGCCGCCGAGCGCAGGTCCACAGCGATTACGTGGCTTGAGAGCCGGGGAGGTGCAGGCGGGACCAGCAGGCGCGGCACGATGGCGGCTCCCGGGTACAGGCCGAGCGTGCTGTGGCTGGCGGTGCTGGTAGCCGGGTTGGTGTCCCCCGGCTGGGCGCTTTACTTCCACTTGGGCGAGACCGAGCGCAAGTGCTTCATCGAGGAGATCCCGGACGAGACCATGGTTATCGGTGCGCGCGGGGGGGGGGGGGGCGGGGTTAAAAAGGGGGGGGGGCGAGGGGGGGGGATCGGATTCAAATGGGCTGGGGGAATGAGGGCGGAGGGGGAAGCTAGACCCGGGGCAATGCATTGAGGTGGTAGCCTGGGGCTGCGGAACGTGAAGGCACGAGGAGGGGCTGGCGATCAGGAAGAGACCGGTGCTCTGAGGCGACGGGAGGATGCTGGAAGAGGCGAAGCGGGCGGAAGGTGGTGAGGGTTATGGCAGGGAAAGAGCGATTTTAGCGCTTGGCGGCCAACTTTCCCCTCGTCCTGCTCCGTTCTGCACCACAGGGAATTACCGGACGCAGCTCTTCGATAAGCAACGGGAGGAGTACCTTCCGGCGACTCCCGGCCTGGGCATGTTTGTGGAAGTGAAGGACCCTGATGAAAAGGTGGGCCCTGGCGTTTGTTCTGTTCATTTCTCGGGCTGAGAGAGGATGCGTGTGGTGAGACCAGAAAGCACTCTTGTTGCAAAAGCATGGGGAGCAGCCCAGGGCTAAAGTAAAGCTGGGTCTAAGATAGATTCGTTTCTACTAGTAGGTCTACTGGTACATCCATCAGAAAAAAACAGAGGAGATCCCACAAGTCTGAAATCTGCCTGCTTCTCTTTAAAGGTAGGGGTGGGAAGACTTCAGTCTTGTAGGATCTACTCTATTTTTTCCCGAAGGATCGTAAAGGCTATCAGCAGAAGCCAAATGAGAAATCCTGATGCAGGAAGGCAGGCAGACATATGCCAGAAGTTAAGGAAGAAGGTGTCACTAAGTACATGCATAGTCTAAGTATTTCTGATGAAGGCCAGAAAGAAGCCAGGAAGAACTTACACACAAAAGCCATTCCTGATTTCCCCTCAAGTGTTCCTAATAACTTAGGTTGGAGGAGGCAGCAAGTTTTTCTTGATGATGATGTTGTTGTTAGACAATTGGAAGTCAAATTGTTCTACTGCAAAGTATTCTGTGATGCACCAGTAGATCCTAATTTTCCTTCTACTGACCTTTTTCTGAGCATTTTGACGGTGTTAAAAGCGTCTTGCTTTGGTTATATTCCCTTTGTAGAGGGCAGGCTTCCAGATGGAGGGAGCCTAGAGCAAAAAAATCAAAAGGTGCCATGCAGTTGTACCATCTGTTTTTCCTTAAGATGTCATTTCTGGTAATAAAAGAACTAAGGAAATTAGGAGAACGTGGGTGGGCTACAAATTGAAGTCAACATCATCTGTAAAATTCAATGTATGAAGAAATAAGGTAATAATAAATGTCTAGTCAGTTTTTTGTCTGTTGGCACAGAGCTGCTAGATGTGGGATGAAGAAGCAGAGTGGCACTTCAGGACCTTTGTTCCTCTTTTATTGGAAATTAGTTCCTTTTTTTGTAAGCATGGCCACTGCAGTGCAGGTGCTGTATAGATGCTGCTGGAATCGCCTGTTTAGATAACTAAAAACCATATGGAGATTTTTACATTGGAGAAGTCATGAGCAAGCTGTACTCCATCCAGGATGTCCACTGCACAGAGTCTTCAGGACATACTGATGGCATGCCAGTGATGTGTAAGAACAGCACTCTTAGTTCTGCAGCCCATCACCCTTATCCCCAAATAAGAGTCCAGTCAGCATGGCTTTTGAGAGATTAAGGGCATCATCCAATGTGACTGCCTGTAACCCTTTGATTATGGGCATCCAATTGAGCACGGGAGGAGCGTGGAGACAAGAACTGCCTCTGTGTTTTTCCAGTCCTGTAAAAGATGGCCATCTCTGCCATTTGCCCCTGCTCACAAGGAGGAGAGATTGAGACATTGCTGGGATTCCACATATTCTGGCAATGCCTCACTCCTCTCCTCTCCACCTCCCTGAACATGCCACCCCTGGCATTGGCTCTGAAATTGTGCTTACACCATTGAAGCTATAGCCAGTATGGAAAAAATGACACCACCTGTGAAGCCAGGGAGGGGGTTCTGTAGTTGGAGTCTTCAACCTATCCTATGGCCATTTAGGCAGCATGTGGTGGCCATAGGATACGTCCCTAAACACAGTTCTCTGCCTATTTCCTGACATCAAAAAAATGTCCCACAAGTTCCATGCTGCCTGGGGAATGCTGGGAGCTGCAGGACTTTTTTATCTAAGCATGCATAGGATTGTACCCTAATGTAATAGTGAACATGGAAAAGTATATACTGTCATATTTTTCCTCTAATCCCTTTCTGTGAACAAACAAATACATGTTTGTTGTTAAACCCACTGCTTACAACAATGACATAAAATACTTTAAAAACCTAGAAGATTAAAACAGTAATCCATAATTAAACCTACATATCATTCCATGTAGGTTGTGCGAAATTAACTCAGGTTTAGAATTTGAAAGATGAAGCTTCCCTTGGTTGATAGGTCTCCCTTGTATGGATATAAACAAATAAAAGCATATAAGTGATGATAATGAGGAGGAGGAGGATAGCTGCTTCTGCTTCCACATAAGGGGTGGGAAGTTAGCTTTAATTTTTAAAGCTGAGAGGATGAAATTTGCCACAGCAAATAGGATTGCCTTTTTAAGGGATGCATACAAAAACAATTATCTCCTTTTCATGTCAGTGAGTTTTTTCCATGAAGGCATAGAAGAACGAAATTTTTATTCAAGATTTAGAGAAAATGTAATGGCAAAACAAGTAGTGGGGGAGGTCTTGCACCAGTCCACGACCCCATGGGCAAAATCTAGAATTGTAAGATATTGTATTAAAACATGGCAGTAATGATTTGTTGATCCTAAGGCTCAGAGCGAACATTTCTAAGGGGTACAATTAGAGATAAGATTGAAGAAGTTCTCACATTTGAACTTGGATTTGAACCATGCATTGCAAAGGGGATCTTCTTACTTGCAGTAGCACAAAGATCAGATTAAGCAGATATACTGGGAGCCTGGACCAGAATACCTGCTTGTTCTCTTGGTCACAGCAGCAAACATCTGTTGCTGCAATCAATATTGGGTTTGAAGAAATCCTTCCTAAAAAATGTCCCCCTGTTTGTAAATACTTTAGAAAGTAATCCTAGCACCCCTAGACCTTGTCAGAGAGGTCATAAGATAGTGAAGATTCCCTGCTTCAGGGTAGAAGACAGCACTCCTACCTCAGAAAGGGAAGTTGGAGATCGAGCTGCTTGCAGCTAGTACAGAAACTCACATTGTCTTGCCTCAGTGATTGGAAGCTTGTTCTTGGAGAGTGGGGGAATGGGGAGCGGGGTAGAGATCCCAGGATACAAACTCTTCTGTGACTCTGCCAGCCTTCTGCCTTTCCCCAACTAAAGCACCATCACTAGATGGGCAAATCAGGCTGCTTAGTGAAAAATGCCATTATTGGAGGACAGTGATGCAAAGATTACCTCTGCCCCTTCAGCCTGGTAGGGGACTGGACACATATAAGCCTCTGAGTTCAGGGGCTTCCATCTTGTTGGAGCACATTCCTATGGGATTTGTAATATACTGAGTTTCTGGCCTGAAAGAATGTTGTTGCTTGAGACTGAGTGTGACACCAACCTTCTTCTAAGCATGGACTCCAGTTTGAATGCATAATGCACGATGAGAAGGAATAAGGGATGAAATGAGATGCCCCTGAACGCTTAGTTGTATTTAAACCACTTATATCTGTGTGAACCAGGAATCCCAACATGAACTTATTTTTGGAATACTGGGTTTTCTTACACTGAGGGTTTTTTTTTTTTTTTTTAATTATAGGTGGTGTTGTCCCGGCAGTATGGCTCAGAAGGGAGATTCACCTTTACTTCACACACACCAGGGGAACATCAGATCTGCCTGCATTCAAATTCCACAAAGTTTTCTCTTTTTGCAGGAGGCATGCTGGTAAGACATACGAGTGATTGTGGCAGGAAAGGTTGAATTGGTTCGCTTGCTAAACCAGCTCAAGAGGCCTCTTGTCCTGGAGATTATCTGCAGGTCCGAGGTTTGACTGTTGTTTCACTCTTCATTGCAGAGAGTCCACCTTGACATCCAGGTTGGGGAGCACGCCAATGACTATGCAGAGATTGCCGCCAAGGACAAGCTGAGTGAGCTGCAGCTGCGTGTGCGTCAGCTCCTGGAGCAAATTGAGCAGATCCAGAAAGAGCAGAACTACCAACGGGTAAGGGGGTGGGTGGGACTGGCTCAGTGGGAAGGTGTCTGCTTTTCATGCAGAAGGACCCAGTGCCAGTCTCTGAAATCTCCAGTTAAAAAGGCCAGGCAGCAGATGACGGGGAAGGGCCTCTCTTCCTGAGCCCCTAAAAAGATGCTACCAGTGAGAACAGGCAAAATGTTTTAGATGGACAGTAGTTTGAGCATAAAGTGGCTTCCTATGAGATTCCACTGTTGCTTCCTGTAAGGCTGGGTTGGGAAGTGGTCAGTGAATGTACTTGGACAATTCAGCTTTGATTTTTTGGGTGGGAAATGAATTCTAAGAGGAAGTATAGAGCAAGATTGGGTACGTCCACTCACTGGCTGATCACAGCCATGGTCATTCCCTCTGAAGGTGGGCATACTCAGCTTCCAGATGTACCTGCTTTCCCAAATCAGTCCATGGTGAAAAGTAGCCCATTGGGTTTAGGTTATGACGGGGAGGAAGAGGCTTACACTGCTTTTGTTTTTGTTTTCTTTTGCTCAGTGGCGAGAGGAGCGCTTCCGTCAAACCAGTGAAAGCACAAATCAGCGAGTTCTCTGGTGGTCCATTGTCCAGACTCTCATTCTTGTAGCCATTGGAGTTTGGCAGATGAGGCATCTCAAAAGTTTCTTTGAAGCCAAGAAGCTGGTCTAAAAAAGTGGATGTGGGGTGACATCAACAAAAGGCCTACATTTCCCACAGGAGCAGTTCCCAGTGCTTCATGTGCCCGCACTGGTCCCTCTTCTTCCCTCAGTCATCCTTTCCACCTGACTGGTTACTGGCCAGGCTTCATGTCATCTGCCTCTTTCTGCCTCTGCCCTTCCTCCTCACCAGTCAGCATTCCAACCTGCTGTGATTCCAGTGCAGTGTGTTGGCCTTCCAAAGCATTGAGCTCTCTCCAGACAACAGAGACACTTCCACTCCTGTTGCCTCTCATGTTTTTTAGCATGGGGAAGGTACCTTTTTGGCCAGCCTTTTTCTGCCTAAGAGGGTTCCTCATCAAAATTAAGACTCTTCTTTTGGAAGGGCATGCAGGACTCTTTATCCACCATTACAAATGTCAAAGCTAAAAACGAATGACTTAGTGCCACCAATCTGTTACTCAGGAGGAAAACACTGAATGAAAAGATCTGGAAGCTCTTCAAAATCTCCGTTCCCGCACATTCATAATGTGAATGGGATGCAGAATAATTTTGGGATTAACATTTTACGGGATTGGTGGAGAAATACTTGGAACTATTTCTGAATTACATGTGTGTTTCTTGTGGGTTCCTGTGATAACTTCTGGGCTACTAATCAGGGATAGCTAAGTATTAAAATTTACTTGACTTTCTTTGTCTTCCTTCTCCTATAGCTTGTTAGATTTAAATTTGCTTTCTCTGTATATATGCAGATGCTGTTCCTATGGCAGATCAGACCCTTCATTTTCTAACTAATGTGAGCTTACGAACATTTGGAAGCTTGGTTCTGCAGCACTGCTGCTCTTTATAGCAGGAACATGTAATGACACATTTTGTTTCTGGCGGCTTCACCAACCTAATCCTTACTAGGAAGTAAATGCCAATGATTTCAATAGAACTCCATTCCAAGTACTGTTGTTCAGCTTTGCAGCCCAAGTCTCCTTGTGGTTTGCTTTGCTAATACATTTTAAGCCTCCATAAATAATAATATAATTATCTTTCCAAAATTATGGAATAATCCCCTCTTTTCCTTTCCCCCATCAAAATTTGGGGTTGCAGTTTGTGGGAGGGGAAGAGAGCCAAAAGATTGGCTTAGTTCATATGTAACAATCTCAAGCCAATAAATCATGTCCTATTGCCCAAAGTCTGTGTACTTAACTCCTTGTGCACCTAGCTTCAAGACTTCTACATGGCTTTTTAGGTTTCAGTTCCTAAGAGGCAGTCCTTGTCAACTGCAGTGCTTAAGTCATGGGAAAGTGTGTGGTTTTGCAAAACATGATATAAACATCCAGCCTGGGTCTGCAAGGAGAGAGTGTGGCTTGATTTGTTGCCTCTGAACCTAGTTACTGTATGTGTAGAGTTCAAGTGAAGTTCTGTCACTGATCATCATTCTTGCTTTTTGTAAACATTTGTTCTAAATAAGGTTGTGAAGAAACAGCTATGCTGGGCTGGCCTGTCATAATGTCTGTTGGATTTGGAGCTGTTGCTGACACATTGAAGACTGGGTTTTTCATTGTGCTTGCCCTGTCATCATACCACCTGTCCATGCCTTCTTTTTTCTTCTTTTTTCATTTGTTTATTTTTTCCATGAAAATTGAGTCGAAGACTTAGGTGGATAGTGCATTATTTGCCCAGCAACAACTTCATAATTACTATGTAAATTGCATCTCTGTATAAGCAGGTACAAATGTCCTTTTCCTAAATGTAAATACAAAACTTGCTTGGGCAGAATGCAGAACTGTCTACTGAAAATAAGGGGCATAACCTCCTGGGAACAACTGCAAGTTCTGTGACTCAACTTGTACCAGATGGTCAATTTCTAACATGACTTTTATGGATCTTTTGCTTGCTGTTGACATGAATGTCTTGTATAGCTGATTAACAAAAAGGGTGGCATGAGTGGTACTGCTTCTGAGATTCTTAGCAAAATCCTGTTGCTCAGGATGTTGAGTCAGACAAATCCACTTTGAACTGTGTTTCTTAAGAAGTCTGGCATTGTTAAAAGCTTTAAGCTTGAATTTGTTTGACTTTAGAATTTGCTAAATATTGAGATGAAGTCAGAGCATTCTTTGAGGGCATTAAATGGGAATTTTTCATAGGGATGCATGAGTCTAAGAACCATCTTAAACAGTTGAGTACACTGGAAAGCTCTTTCTAGAATGGTGAAGGAGGGGAGCTTTTTAGACTTGTAGAGAAAGATTCCCATACTAGATGGGTGGGGATTTTGATGTGTTTTCAGTTTCCCTTACACATTTGGGATGACTTAGATTAGTGTCACCAACCACACCAATGTTCCCTAGCCTGATATTTAAAAGTTTTGGACTTCAGCTTCCATCAGCCCAGCCCAGGATGACGGAGCTAATAGTCATAAATGCTGGCAGTTGTAGCCCAAAACATCTGAAAGGCACCCAGTTGGCAAAGAATAATTACACTATCCAGTTGATAAGTTCTGATATCCCAACCACCATTCCTTTACTCCTCAAGTTGTTTTTTTTTGCTGCTGTGGCCAGCTTTTGACAAAAACTTAATGACATTTTAAATACTCAACAGTATTTAAACTTCAGGCTTTAAGTGGGAAATTAAACAGCTTCAAGGATAATGACATAGTTTTAATGAATGAAACTTGCTTATTTTATGTTTTGAGGCTATTTTAGTTCTGGTTGCTCTGTATTACAGAATGAGGGAGAAATTATTAAAGATGGTATTTACTTCTAATAATGAGTACTAGCTTTATTACATTCTAAGATCTTCCACTTTCTTCAGAAGTACAAAAAAGCACATTGATGTGCTTGCTTATCAATATTTTAGCTGACTGACAGACATAAAAATGTTCTGCACAAAATTTAGCAACACTCTTCATGTACTGCTGCATCTGGATTTGAAAAGCTATTCTGACCCTGTTAAGAGGTTCCCTGTAGCCTTCATCACCTTTAGTTAGAAAAAGCGCCTACAATTCCCAGCATGCCCCAGCTGACCCTTTTCTCTGACTAACGTAGGATTGCGCCTCTAGCTTAGGTTCTGGACTTATGGAGTCCTGGAAACCTCACTTAGATCAGATTCGGGAGGTCCGGGGGCCATTTTCGCGGCGCTGCTGGAACGGACAGAGAATCTGGTGAAAAAAAGCAGGCAGTGGCTCTCAGGCTTGACATTGCCTACTTCCCCTCAGTTGCGTCTCTGCCCGTCCCGCCGCTGTCCGGAAATGTGCGACGTCTGTCCCTTAGGGTCTAGCTTTTAGGTGGCATTCGCCTGGGAACAAAATTGGGCGGAACAACTGGCACGGAGCGCGTTTCCGGGGGAGCGTGCTAGTCGGCGGACCTAGTGTCCTAGCCAACGTGTCTCGGGCGGGGACCCTGCCGTCAAGGCGGCAGGATGTTCCCGTCTCGGCGCAAGTCTGCTATGTATGGTCGCGCGGGAGGCAGGTGAGTATCCTGACGGGGGAAAGAGGAGGCGTCAGGCGGCTGGGGGAGCGGGTGTGGGGAAAGGGGCCGTGGACGAAAAGCCCTCTGGTGACCCTATGGCAGCAGCAAGGATCAGCGGCCAGTTGCTATTCTCAGGTCCCAGTCGGTTTGAAGCAATGGCTGTGCTCCAGTCCTGAAGTACCAGTCTGTCTCAGTCTAGAGCGGCCAAGAAATAGAATTTATGCTTCTGCTGTTGCTGCTGTGGAGATAAAACGGGCATGTACCTTACTTAGCTTCCTTTGTGATGGCATCCCTTGTGATGGCACTGAGGGCATCCCTTTTCTTTTTCAGCCGTAAATAAGTAGTGCCTTTCTCGATAGCCGCCTGCTCCAACCTGGAGCCTTTCAGATGTCTTGGAGTGCAACTGCCCTGAAGGCAGCGTGGCTGGAGGGAATGAGGTTGGGGAAAGCTGCCATGTAAGAATGAATGGAAAGTAGAGCAGCAGAGAGGATGAAACCAAATGCAATAGGTGTTGCCCTTTCCATGGTGATATTTTTTCTTTTAAAGTAGTATGGTGCCATCTCAGAGTTAGAACATTTACTTTTAAGTAACTATAGCCATCTGCCACATATTAGAGGTTGGGAGAAAGGGTTTCCATGCTGGAGGATGTAACTTCAAGCAGACTTGAGTCCATGCACTATTTGTACCTTCTGTAAAGATCTCATATCAGATAGGAAGGAATAGGAGCTGCTGAAACATAAGGGAATAACTGTCCAAACCTTTGTATGTCTACTCGGCAGTAAGTTTCACTGCTTTCAGTGGTGCTTAACTTTAGGTAAATGTGTGTAGGATTACAGATTAAGAGTGTGATATAAGACCACCTAGTTCAAAAAAAGTTTCCTAGGTGCTTGGTCACGTGCTACTCTGATCTTGACAAGTACCACTATTACAAATCTTGCTGGTAATGGATTACTAGAACAATAATAATCCCCAACCACCATTTTTCTTGCTGCAAACTAGCAATCTGTAGTTTGATGGCTGATCTGTTGGGTTCTGGGGAATAGGAAATGGGGCTCCCTGGAATGAGATAATGGCTGAAGGCAGTTGGTTGCCCATGTAGACTGCATTTCCCATTATCCCAACCAGTGTGGCCCAACACTTCTGTTAGATACCAGGCTTAGTGTTCCCATGTCTTCCTGGTTTCATTTACTTTATTCTCACACTGTGTTGGTGGTCTTATGCCACAGTTTTGCACTGGAGCATGGGCAGAATGAGGGACTTATTCTGGTGATTCCTGACTCTGGTCTACTATATATGCTCTGGAGAAGCCTATGGTGGTTTGTGTATATCAGTCTCTCTTTTGCACTAGGAGTAGACCATCTTGTCTCACTCTGTTCTGTTGTTCTGATTTTTCTTCAGATCCGATCGGCTGTTGGGCATCCTACCCCGGAAATGCTCTCTGTTTCAGCTCTTCTTTGTTGCTCTTTTGCTGGGTTTTATTTCCCTGTTGTGGCTGCAGCTCAGCTGCTCAGGGGATGTGGCTAGAAGTCAACGAACTGAGGCTACAGTGCTTCAGAAACCATGCAACTTTGAGCCTCTTCCTCAGCTTCCTGACGATCCATCATGGGGACCTCACCGCCTGGCAGTGTTGGTACCTTTTCGGGAACGCTTTGAGGAGCTGCTGGTTTTTGTTCCCCACATGCATCACTTCCTGAACAAGAAGAAAATTCGCCATCATATCTTTATACTCAATCAGCTGGATCATTACAGGTACTATAAGGCATGGTTGAACACCACACTCAAGATCTTTTGCTCTGTGCTCCAACATATTCTATATCTTAGATTTAGTTTTTTCCCTTCTCAGAATGACTTTGGACATGTGATCAATATATAAGAAACTAACATAGGGCCATTCTGTTATCTGAAATAAAATATCTATATTTCTCCCATCAGGGAAGTGGGCAATCTGGTATCATGTCTCAAGTCACTCTTTCTCAATGAGGCATTGCTTAGTTGCTGCTAAACATTCTAAAAACAATTAACTGTTTTCAATCCATCTGGCTTTTCCTCTGTTCCTTTTGGTGGTGCAGGATTGATGCTCTCTTCCACTGGCATCATAAAGATTTTGCTTTGTTGAGAATGATGCAATTTTTGCTTTTTAAGCCACAAGGACAAAATCATGTAGCAAGCAGGTTGTATTCCAAGCTGGAAAATAGTATTTGTTCTTGAGTTACAATTATTCACTTTATGACAGTATTGGTTATATATCCTAACTAGTGCCCTAGTCCAATTTTTATTGTGCCTGTTCATATGGGTGTATCTTCTATTAGTTGCTCAAGTCTAACGGAGAACTAGAATTGGGAAGAGGCCTTAAGCTTCAGTTTGAATTCTGTTGTGTGTGGTTGTTTTGTTTCTTTGGGTGGAGTTTCTCCCTATCCTGTAGCCTTGGGCCTGCTTTCCCTTTTCTAACTCAAACTGTTAAGGGGTTTGGCTGATGAGGTATCTTACATTCAGTATCACACCATCATCCTTCCAATTTCATATCTCATTTAATTTCTTTGTCCTGTTTTTCCTCATCCCTCTTTCTGTTCAGACTCCCTGCTTTGATCCCTCTAACAAGGAAAAAACATCCTTAGGAAAAGTGGGAATGCAGAGTTAATGCCTGTACCAATCATGTAAAATGCTTTCTCTTTAAAGAGGAGAAAGTTTTTGTGCAACATACCATGATGCAGAACACAAGATAATGATTCTTCTATGGATGTGACAGTGCCACCCTATTCTACAATCATCAGTAGCTACTGGTAAACTTAATAATGTCATTCATACCCTGTCTTTGTTCCACCCAATTCAAGGCGGTATAACAAGGGTTCTCAGGTAGTCTTCCATCTGGTCTTCCATGTTCAGCAATTAATTACACAGGGTTGGCTGATCTAGATTTGTAAGACCTGCTTTGGGTTTTTTACTGGCAGTCTTGACAGCCAGCAACCAGAATCTGATGCAAACGACATTCACTTTGAATTAAAGGCTTCTGAGCCCAGGAACTGTTTTGAGTACTAGAAATGAATGGAGGTCTCAGTTCTTCCACACAAGAATGCAGTCCTGATTATCCCAAGCACTTTTCCTTTCAGGAGTATAATTTAGAGTGCAGTGGGAGGGAGGGGAAAAGAGATTTTATTGCTGCTTTTGTTCATCAGTTCAGTGCCAGAAATTCTTTTCCATCTGCTGAAGATTGGGGATCTAATGGTTAATTCAGATTTACTTCCTGTCTATCCATTCTAAAAGGTACTAAAGTCTACCATTTACTTTAGCAACAATTCAGTGCTTTCACCCACCAGTCTCCCAAACAATTCCTTCTCAAAACCTCTATGCTAATAGCAGAGATTATGTGCACATGGCATTTTGTTACATTTGTGAGTAAACCATGGGGTCTTTAAAAGCTGCATTTCAAACATAATTATCCCTCAAGCAGTGTTAATTGTTGAATTTAGCTCTATATCATGCACATATTACACAAGAGCATTGGAAGGTGGCAATGGAAAAGGTTTTCCCAAGCAGCAGCATGGAAAAACTCTTGTTTGTTCTTTATTAGTTTGCATGTGAATTAAAGTTATTTCTTTTTTCAGTGACAACCAGTCAGAGCACTTAATAGAATCACTCTTTCATTCCTTGTGTTATTGAATACTATTAAGCCAATGTTAATATAGAATCCTGTAAACATGACAGTTTTCTGTTCCACCCGCAACTGGTGATTATGTGAGGAGGTGCATTGTGCCCCAGCACTGAGGGTGTACCCTGTGTTTTGGAATCTGGCTGTTTTGATAGCCAATTCAGAATCTTGAAGAAAAACCTCCTGGCTGTAGACAGCATGTTGAAAGTATGTAGTATGCAATTGAGAAGTTAGAAGTGAATGTGAGTCTCATTTGGGTTTCCAAGGGGTAGAGCTGCTTCACTCTGCTGTAGTGTTTTTCTTCCTTTTCATGACCCATCCCTCTGCTTTTATTCTTCTGCAACTTTTTTTTGCCTCTGCCCCAGCCTCTCTTCCATCACTTTCATGTGTCTCTGAGGAAAAGAATATTCTAACAATAAGGGCAACCTCTAGATCAGGGTGATCCAACACATGACCCACAAGCTATATGTGGCCCCCAAGGCCTTGTTCTGTGGTTCTCTTGCTGCCCAGAGCCCCCCATCCCCTCCCCTACCCAGATCCCAGTGATGGCAAGGGCATGATTGCCATGAGTTCTCCTGAGGCTTCCAGCCCTCTCTACTCTCTTCCTGAGGCTCGGGAAGGGAGTGGGTCAGGATGGTGGCCTCAGGACAGCTCACCCCAACATGCCCTTCACCACTCCAGCAGGTTTAAGGTAAAGGAGAAACAAAGGAACTAAAACTCAAGCTTCTTTATTAACACCTGGGTCAACAATATGAGTTCATGAAGGTTCTCTGAATTCTGCTTCAGAACTGTTCAGATTCACATCTATATCAGATTGTGCACTGTTTTTCTTTCTTTTCTCACCAATATTTGTGGATATTTTTGGGTGCTCCTGCCCATCTATATGCATCAATTCTCTGCATTTTAAAAAAGTATGCATTTTGTCTCAGTACATTTAAACTCATTAAACTCAAAAGTAGCTATTTTTCCAAATGTATTTTAGGGTCCCATGAGGAGCACTGCAAACTCAGAAATGTACAAACATAGACTCTAGATTTCATTTGAGTCCACATTCAGTTCTAGGAAGTGCAAACTGAGTAAATTTGAGTCAAAAACTAAAGCTGTGAATGGAAATAAAACCAGATCCTCATTCATTTAACACTGAACACTGACTTAATTCTATAGTGGTGGATTGACTAGATCACAGTATGCAATTAGATTTATCAACATTTAATGTTAGTTTAACCTAGCTCTAATTATGCAATGAATTGGCTGTACCATCATGTTGGGATGCAGCTTGTCTTGCCCTGTGCTGCTAGGCTGTGAGCTCCCAAATAAGTGAGCTGTAGTTATGGTCCCTCATGGGTGGGTGGTGTAGTGACAGACATGGAAGAAACACATGCATCAATTGTACATTTCAGTAAGCTGAGTGAGGCTCAGGAAAAAAGCAGGTTAGTCTGGTGGTCTTGCAAGAGCTTGCCCCAGCATGCCCCATGCTGTTCCAGCTGATGAGCGCAAAGGCACTCCGGAGCTGAGTGCCTTTGCGCTTGTCAGCAGAGTGAGCGGAGCATGCTGGGGAAAGTTTGCAGGCTCAAGTACAAGAGACTCGGGAAGGCAGGAGGGGCTGGGGGGGGGGTTCATATGGGAGGGTTTCTGAGCAGGAGAAACAGGAAAGAAAGGGATGGGCAACTTCAGAAGAGTGGTCATTGTGCTTGGGCTGTGGTTGGAGAAGGAGCTGCCTATGATCTCTACGGACCACAAAGTATTCTTTTTCATTCAGTTAGCCCTAAAATCATCTTAAAATTAAGCAGCTGCTCCTGATCTCTTCAGCAAGTGTAATAATTAAATATATTGATTTTGTTTATTAAATATATTGCAAATGCCTTAATTTATGATACAGAAATGTAACTCATTGTGCAGCCCCTGGGTTCCATGTCAAAGTACCTCAAGGTACAAAAAGTTGGACCACACTGCTCTAGATGAATAAAGGGCAGTTGTTTATTAGATTATTTATATGATTTGATAAACAATTAAACAAGAATAAAAGTAAGACCCATTGTGAATTCTGAACTCCTCTTTATGTGTAATTAGCTGTCACATTTCGGTTGGGCTTCCCCTACATGAAAGAGTCTGTGTTCCTGCTGGGAACCACCCATCTGCTTCTTATGAGTTGGAAAGTTGCTAGTGACAGTGCGTAGACCATAGAACAGTGGTCGGATGCAGGGGTTGAACATTTTTAACAGAGGGGTGGTTAGGATTTCTAGGCAGAACTTAGGTCCAATCTGCTCATGCTGGTCTCTTGGACAGGTTTAACAGAGCATCTCTGATCAATGTGGGCTTCCTGGAAAGTGGCAATGATACAGACTACATAGCCATGCATGATGTGGACTTGCTACCTCTCAATGAAGAACTGGATTACAGCTTCCCATCTGCTGGCCCTTTCCATGTGGCATCTCCTGAGCTGCACCCTCTCTATCACTATAGCACCTATGTGGGTGGCATCTTGCTGCTTACCAAACAGCACTATCGAATGGTAAGTCCCCAGACACTTCTCACAGAGAGGACTTGCTGAAGAAAGCCCTGCTAGTTACTTTGGTGGGTGGAGGGTGTACAGCTAGTGGCTTAATGTTTAGACCCAATCCTGTATTTACTGGTTTCAGGTGTAAACAGCGCCACTCCCTTACTCCTCAAGCTGAAGAGGCAATGGTGCTGGCTGTGCCACAGGACAGTTGACAGCACGTTTTATAATCTGCCCCAAGTCTTCTTGGAGGAAAAGAATGCTGGAATTAACTGTGTTTTTACTGTTGTTTCAGTGTAATGGAATGTCCAACCGCTTCTGGGGCTGGGGCCGGGAGGATGATGAATTTTATCGCCGCATCAGAGGAGCTGGACTTCAAGTGAGGATGCAGCATGGCTCTGGCTGGAGGTTGGGGACCTGACCTTGGGACTCAGGTTCTCAGTGCGATCTGAGCCTGCTACCAACCTCTTTCCCTGCTTCACACAGAAGGCTGTTCTTTAGGCAGGTCTTCTGCCATGCTGTGTGATTTCTGTGTTGCACCAAGACTTCTGTCCTGAGACAAGTGGCTCATGCAGGCTCTGCCATTTCTTCATTTCAGCTCTTCCGGCCCCTAGGCATTACGAGTGGATATAAGACATTCCAACACCTGCATGATCCAGCTTGGCGCAAGAGAGACCAGAAGCGTGTTGCTTCCCAGAAGCAGGTGGGTGGTTCTCATGGGGGAGGTGGGTGAAGGCTGTCTTTGTCTCAGAACTGGAAGCTGTCACCTTGCCTGTGTGGGTCAGGCCATCTCGCAGTGTACTCAGTCCCACGTTGTTGCTCAGGCATTCTTACTCTCACTTTATGTTTTACTGTAGCACGTGGCTTTGCTCAGTACTGAGTGGCAGTTGGAAGACATAGAAATCTGTATAGGTGGAAGACCATTGAACAGAGCCTCTAAAGGCCACATGATTTTACTGCTTTGATCTTTTTAAAATACTGATTTTGAAAATACACATTTCTGTTCCTGATGGCTTGGGATAAAAAATGTGTAAGTTAAGCAATTAACACTATCCTTAGGAAGCAAGAAGTGTATCTTAGCATCACTTCTATTGCTTGTCCTTTAACCTCCCCAGTGTTCCAAAACAAGTTTCAGCTGTCCCTCCTTTTTGACTGCCCTTAAGTGGACACCCACTTATGTCCTGCAGCCAGAACAAAGCATGGAAATAAAGTAAAGCAGGTAGCAGGTACACAAATCTAATTGCAAGATTTACAGAAACTTTGGAGCTGCACTATCTTTTGCTTTAAAGCCACCCTTCTTTCTAATAATGATGTCATCACACAGTCACAACTGATTAACTAAGCAATTATGTCAGTGCAGTAGGATGGTGAATGATACAAACAGACCAAAAGAGACACCGAGCTACAACTCACAATGGAGCCATCACCTGAATGTCAGATATCAGAGACAGACAGCTGGAATGTGTGTTAGAAGGTTCCTTCTCTCTGCAGCACATCTTTGCCCTGTTTTGGCACAGAAACAGCCTTGGGCGCCCTGTATGATGACCTGTGCTGGGAGCAAGGCAGGGGAAGCGCAACCCTGTTGATGCTGCTGGACCTCTTGGCAGCTTTCAGTACCATCAACTATGGAATCCTTCTGGAGCAGCTGGCCGAGATGGAAGTAGGGGACATTGCATTGCGGTGGTTCCGCTTCTTCTTGGAGGACCTTCTCCAGAAGGTGGTGCTAGGGGAATATTGTTCAGCCCCAAGCATTCTCCAGCATGGAGTTCCTCAGGGGTGTGTTCTTTCCCCCATGCTGTTTAACGTCTGCATGAAACCGCTGAATGGGGTCATCCAGAGTTTTGGAGTGCATCGCCATCAGTATGTTGATTACACGCGGCTCTATTTCTCCTTTTCATCATCAGCAGATGAGGCTGTGTATGTGCTAAACTGGTGTCTGGCTACTATAATGGACTGGATGAGGTCCAACAAACTGAAGTTCAACCCATTCAAGACGAGATGCTGTTGGTGGGTGGTTCCTTTGACTGGATGGGGGATGTTCAACTTCTAGACAGGGTCACACTCCCCATGAAGGAGCAGGTTTATAGCTTGGGGGGCTTCTTGATCCATCTTTCCCACTTGACGCTCATGTGGTATCAGTGGCTCAGAGTGCCTTCTACCAGCTCTGGCTGGCTGCCCAGCTGCACCCCTATCTGGACAGAGATAGTCTGGCTTCAGGAATCTGTGCTCTAGTAACCTCTAACTTAAATTACTGCAACATACTCTGTGCTGGGCTGCCTTTGAAGGTGGTTCAGGAAGTGCAGCTGGTGTAGAATGAAGCAGCCAGATTAATAAACTGGGACCCAAACGTAAGACCAGTTTTGGCTCACCTGCATTGGCTGCCTGTATGCTTCTGGTCCTTAATTCAAGGTGCCGGCCTTAATTCAAGGCCTACATTGCTTGGGACCACAGTACCTGTCAGAAGGCCTCTCCCAGCCCTGATCTACCTGGATACTATGCTCAGCCTCTGGGGCCTTTCTCTGGGTGCCAACTCCTCAAGAGACTCAGAGGGTGGCAACTAGGGGAGAGCCTTTTCAGTGGTGGCCCCAATCTTTGGAACAAGCCAGATCAGCCAGGTGCCTTTCTTTTACTCTTGGCCAGGTCTTTTTTAATTGTCTTTTAATGTTTTTATATTATTTTAGATTAATCTTTAATTCTCATGTTGTTACCTATTGTATTTTATTGTTTTTATATTTTGTTGTAAACTGCCCAGAGAACATTGGCTACAGATACTATAGAAATGAAATAATAATAATAATAATAATCCCTCCCCATTTAAAAGAAAAAAAATCAGCACTGGCGAATGTATATGGCTTCCAATAAGAGAAAAAAAACTTCCTACCTCTCTCCTTACTTCCCCCTAAATGTGTGTGTGTGTGCGCGCGCGCAATATAGTTACAAGTTTTAACTGTAAGCTCTTGAAACATGCAAGTCTGTGATGACACTAGGAAGTATGGACTATGAGGCATTTACCATGGAATCCAGAACTAGGCCCAGAACCCTGAAAAGTGTTACCCTGCCCTTTTTATTAAATCTGTGTAGTTATAGAGAAAATTTTGAATCAGTGAGGGCACATTTTAGAGAAAATAAGGTTTAAGATGAGATTCTAGTACTTCAAGTGAGGATTTCTCAGTTTTTCCCTGAGTTCTTCATAAAACTACATGAACACAAATTTACTAACTTCACAAACATTCTTCCAAGCACCAACTAAGATGAGCCATGCTGTGTAAAATATCTCGTGGAGGCTTGTATAATTTATTCTGATTGTGATGCTGTGTAATGCGATTCGTTCTTCTAGTGCCGAACTTCATAAGTCTTGAGTATAATTCCAGACCCCTTTATGATAATCATGCTCTAAGCCTGTGTCTCTCTCCTTGACAGTGTTTAGCCTTCTCCCTGTTTACTCCACTCTTGGCATCTTCCGGGCCCTCTCCAAAGCCTTATTCCTTTGCTCTAGGCCTCTGTGCATGATGCCTGGCACTTTTGTTTCCACTCAGGAGCAGTTCAAGGTGGACCGGACAGGAGGGTTGACCAACCTCAAATATAAAGTGGAGTCACGCACTCCACTGACTGTGGCAGGCGCTCCCTGCACAATCATCAACATCTTGTTAGAATGTGACACCAGCGAGACTCCCTGGTGTGTGTTTGGCTGAACTGCCTGCCACGGACTGCCTGTTGTGTCGCTGTTTAGCTGGTTGCCAGAGTTGGTGCTGGATGCTCTGAAGGCAAGTTCTTTGGCAGGAACCGACAACAGAGCATAGATGCCCATGGCTCAGATGGTTAAAAAGAGGACAGAGGATCTACACCAGTTGCCAGGTATACGTTGGGCATTGCTTCTTCCGTGTGGATACTGCAAGGTGAAAACAAATGCAGAGGTGCTGGCCTGAATCCCTGGTTAGCCTGCTTGTCACACAGAAAGATGCTGTCTTGGCTGCCTACATCTGAACACAGTGAAGGACATCTCAGACTGAGAGGCAGGACCTGGGACTAAATCATCCTCTCTCTACCTGCCAGGACTCCAACACCCGGGTGATAAGGAGTGCTTGGGCCGGTCGCCTTGTTTGGAAGCTTGTTGCCCGAGCTGATACTGAAAGGATTTACAGCATCAGTATTTGGTTAGTTCGCTGGAAGTTTGCTCCTCTCATGATGAAATATGCACACCTGCTCGCTGTGAAATTCTCATGCCCCCTCCATGCTTCCTCTGGGGGGCTCTTGCAAGTGGGCAGCTCGCTCTCTGGCTCTGAGAGCATCCTCACCGACCACCTTACTCCAGCCCATTGTTGTAAGGGATCCTGTTCTTGAAGTCTCCGGGGCTGTAAAAGTGTTTGGCTCGTTGCAATAAAGCCATGAAAGCAAGTGGCTTGTAGATGGTATGTGTGTCAGGGAGTGCATGTAGGCCAGAAGTACACAGCAGGGGTCCCTGTGGGGCTCTAGTGTGTCCCCAAATGTACCCTATCCCTCATATAACAGATCCTGATGTGCTGAATCAGGGGTCTCAAACTCAACTTACCTGGGGGCAGTCTGGGTGAGGCTGGGCCGCATCAAGTATTCCACCACCGCAGTGGTGGTGGGTCGCTCATCCCGCACTTTGAAGGCTGCAGGGGCCCTCCCCCATGACCCGCCCATCCCAACAATTGGCCCGCGGGCCATGAGTTTGAGACCCCTGTGCTGAATAGTGTGGATCCAGAGGAGTTGGGGCTTGGATTCTACCTTAGCCTTATACTTGGCCCTTTGGGTAGGTTCCTTATTCTTCATAAGTAACCATACTTTGCATGGCAGTTGTTTTGTGGTGGTGCTGATAACAGTTCTTCCAGTTACTAGTTGTGCTCAGCACCAAAGGATGTAGGCATTGCCACAGGTCATACGAGAGTCTGCTTGTTTGAGCCTCCTCCCTTTACCTGCCAATGTAACTTCCTGCCCCTGGAATCTGGGATCCTGACCCAAGCCTACCCTCCTGAGCCAGAATTAGCCTCGGCTAACCTTCATGCCAAAGACACTAGCCACACTTGCACACAAATGTATATTACCTGATATGATGCATTCATACAATAAGTCTTCCTTCCCAAGAAAGTGAGAGACAGCGCTAAACCCCCAGCTCATGAACCCAGGCCAAAACACCTCCGAAAAAGCTGATAGCTCCTGTGCAGCTGCAGCCGGCATCTGTAGAAGTGGCTGGCCACAGAGCTCGCTGTGGAGACGCTGGCGGTCTGCTGAAGGCTCACTGTAGAAAGGTGGAGGGTCTGTGCTCGCGGTGGCATATCACTGGGCCCTGCCACATGAAGGGGTGGGAGGGATGCTTGCCAAGCCTCCATAGAGATGCCAGCTGCCTCTGGATTCCTCTCCTCTTTCAGGGGCTTAGATTTTTTCTTGGGTTGCTGGGTGAAGATGCTGCTGAACTGTTCCAGGCTGCTCGGATGCTCAGACTGACTTGTGTCCATAGCACTGGAGGAAAGTTCCTTATAGTTGCATGACATGAGCTTCTGCAGCTGAGTTTTGGATGTGTTTTTTTTACCAGCAGAGGTAGCTGTAAGGGGTGGGGGGAGAGCAAAAAAGGTTAGAGGTGGATTTTCCTGAAGTCCTAAAACAAGTTTTATCTAACAAGTTACTCTTTAGTTGCTTGTGGCAAGGGGATGGCATTTTGATTGATCCCAAATTGTAGAACTGTGGGGGGAAAAGACCCCCAGCATGTCAGATAAATGGACCAGGGACCTTTTTTCCTACATGTGTAAAATAGTGCAGAATCTGGATTCTGGGTTTTTTAAAGCAAGGAACCTTTTTGCTGTTATATGCGATGGTTGGATACTTAGACACTGGCTTTCAACCATGCTTCTGGTATTATGTTCTCAGTAAATCTCTGTTCTTTCTTCTGGCCGCTAAGCTTCTTTCTTTGCTTACTATCTCCCACTCTCTGTCTTCTCCTTTCTTCCCATTCCAGCCCTTCTCTAAACCTTCCACATTTTGCAGACAACACAGAATGCAGTGCAAGTTCATTTGAATAATTTCTTCTAAGTACCAAATCTACATTCCTTTAGCAAGAACAAACCCTTTAATATCTTTTAAGCATTGAGTACAATTACATTTACCTGTAGCTAAAGAACAAAAGGGAACCATGCAACATGGAAACCCTTGGGCTGTTTAGCCTGATATTTATAGGGTGGGTTAGATGTGGGGAGAGATCTAAATTAGATGGAGAGGGGGTTAGAATGTTTTGTGTGAAGAGGTTGCCAGGCTAGCTCTGACACTGACATATGGAGGTGGAGTTTATGCTACCTTTTAGGTTTTTGAATGTGCAGCTGGAGCTGGCCTGCCTATGACTCCCTTGTGCATACTTTCACCTGAACACCACCCATAACACAAAAACCTTAAATACTTTTTTTAAGGCTCTGAAATCTGCAGTGCACGCCCTGACCAACCTGGTCCCTCTGTCCAGCAATGTGGAGTAGATACTGTCTGCTACTGATCACCTAGATACTTTTTTTTTAAAAAGAGCCTAAAATTTCTCAGTATTGCCTTTCTGCTTCACTGAGTTAGATGTTATTCTGGAAGTAATGAAAGATGCTGAGTGAATGAAGCAGTGGGTGGGTTCACACAGCTTATGAATAAGCTACACAGATCTGGGTTGTTCATGAAAAAACCCACAGTGCACCTGACAGCCACTGAGGCCTACTGTGGCTTCTCCCTTACCTTTCCCCCTTGGGCCTCCAGCTGCTACTGCTGTGTCTTTCACAACACAACCATCTTTTCTGCTTTTCCCTTCTTTGATCACTGCCCTTTTTGTTCACCACTGAAAATTCAGACCTTCAAAAATGTTCACCAATGTTTAAAGAAAATTCAGACCTTCCAAAACATGTATTTAAAAATATGTTTCACCCCCAAAAAGTTTTGTAAATGTGCCTGCAATTTTTCTTCTCAGTCTTTTGCAAGAGTACACAGTTGCAGTTGTACAATATGTGGTGAAGTGGATAAGTAACATAGAAACTGAGAAGGCGGATTGCATATATGCTAATTTCCACACAGTTGCCAGGGACCAATTGCCAATTTGTCAAGTGAAAAGTACTGAAAAGTGGGGAGGAGTCACGAAAGTAGATGCACAAAAAGGTGGTGGTGGAGAGAAGCACTCTGTCCTAGCGATGGGATCCTGTTACTTTTCAAGTGTTCAGCTTGACTTTTTGCAGTGTCCTCTACCTTTTCAACATTTCTGTAGCAATTGCATCAGTAGGTACTCCTGCAAGGACTCATGAAAACATAGGGAGCTTTGGTGGTATAGAAATAAAATAATCTCCCCTTTCCAGAGTGGCTGGAGACTTGAAGTGGAGTGTTGAAACAGTGGAGGTCACTGAGAAGTTTCCTTTCAGCAATTAAAAGCAGAAGGGCTACATTGCTATGGGGGGGGGGGGAGTTCCACTCTACTTACACTGCACTGACTTCTTACCATGTGATTCCTCTTTTTGGTGCCATTCAATGGAAAACTTGGCAATTGGACCCTAGCAACTTGCCAATATATGTGTTACCTGATAACATTGCTTTCCTTTGGCAGCTAAAATATACAAGGAAAGTGCCTAAACAAGAACACACAGATGGGACAGTGTTCAGAGTTCCATGCTCAGAAACACAGGGAAGCACCTGGAGGACACCAGGCTGGAGAAAGCTGCCCTCGGGACAGCATAAGGGAGCAGAGATTAAGCTAGCCAGGGCTTCTCGAATGCTGTTCAGTCAGGGAGGTCTTTGCAGTGCCTTGTACAGCTGAAGCGTCTTGTGCTGTTCTTTAATTCACCTGCTGCTGTGTGCAAAGAGCTGCTGGCCCTGAGCTCAGACTTTGATCCTGAGAACTCCAGCTCAGTGTTCACACTGGAAGAAGAGGAATCCTCGTGGTTTGCCTGCATAGGAAAAGCATATGGGGTCAGTGCTGCAGCCCTGGAGCCAGATAGTGCCACTGCTCTGTCATGAGTGTCCAACAGTGCTCACAGCGAGACGTTCTGTAAAGTCAGAAGAAGTTACAGTGACCTGCCCTTATGCTTCTCCTCCCAGCATTTTTCTCCCCATTAGTGAACTACCTCAGAATGGAAGCAAAATGGAAGGGAGGTCAGTCACTCCCAGAACTCTTCTATTTCCATGGGGCAGGGGACCGAAGATGAACTGTGGTGGCTGGATGCAGTTCAAGATGCCTTCCTCTTCCCCAACCTGGTGCCTTCCTGATTTGTTAGACTATAACGCCCCACATACAAGCTGCGAATGACGGGGATATAGTCAAACACACTTGGGAGTGTTCATTGTTGAGAAATTATTCTGTTTGGGTAATAGAGTTCTCTGCCAGACTAGCAAAGTGTTTAAATCCAGATGTTTTAAACCAGGGTGGGAAACCTCTTTCAGCCTGAGAGACTGAATTTAATTTCAGAAAAACTCTGGATTGGGGAGGCAGTATTCCAGTGGTGAGCAGGAGTGAAGACAAAGGGACAGAGGTACACACACATATACACATATACATATGCATATACACACACACACCCCCTACATGTTTTACATTGCTTACAGTCTAAAAATCTATTTTAGAATGATGTGGGGAGGGGGTCCAAGAGCCAGAAAATGACTGCACAATTGGTGGCTGGGGAAAGAGGTGGAGGTGAGAGATTGAGGAAGGGGGCATGGATATCTGGAGACCAGTTTGGGATCTGTGGCCCGATTCCCCACCCCTTTCATTTTGACCATTTTTTTTCCAGAAACAACACTAAGAACATTTTCTCTTGGTTACAAATCCTGCTACTGTGGGATGGAAACTGAAAGATAATTATTTATCAGTTGAATGTACATTCCAACTAATGTAGGCTTCACTCTACATTTCTAGTTGTGAGAAAGTCAGAGTGGATTTAAAGGTCTCTTGTAGAAAATGGGCTAAGTGTTTCCAGCTTCTCCCGGCTGAACACACAGCTGTCTGCAACAGCTGCATTTGTCGAAGAAAGCCCAACAACTGTGGACACGTTCCACTGGGAGCTGCACATACCAAGCTGGATGACTGAGACGTGGTTTCTCTGTACACTTGGTACCTCTTGCCCTTCTTACTTCCGCGGAATCTGTTAAAGAGGGCCCAGGGCCCATACGAGTTGAGTGCTGGCTCACTGGCTGGGGATGAGATCTGCAAGAACTGGATGCTGAGCTGCAGCTGCCCTCTTGTCTTCTCCTTCTTTCCAGGTCGAGACTGCAGCACAAACCACCTGCAGTGGGAGAAAGCAACAGCCTCTGTGGCAGGTATCCAACATGCCGCTTGCCACCCTGTGGGTTGCTGCTGCAGTGTCTGGTTCTTTGCCCCTACAGGTCACCCCACGTAGGACCTGAAGAGTCCCCTTCAGAGCAGAAAGGGC